TGGTTTTGATCGCTATTATTGTCGTTTATACAAAAACAAGGCAGCGAATAAAAATATTTACCACTCTGTGGAGGCTTTTCTAAAAAGCTATGGATCTTTTGCCCTAAAACCTATTAGCTCAAGTGGTAGAGCGCTATGCGGATGCATAGAGGTGTAGATTCGATTCCTACATAGGTTGTCTCTAAAAGTAAATATTAGACACTCTAAAGTAATTCAAAACATCTCAAAAGTAAATCAAATTAGCTCTAATGGTATATAAACAAAAGAGGTTTTTTTTAGTGACTTGTTATTCATCGCCCGCAAATCTCTACATAAAGCCCACATTTTATAATTTTTTGACAAATTTGCCCTTTTTATAATTTTAACCGAAGATAAATTTTTCGCACTAAAAAAATGTGGAGCAGCACCGGATCGCCGAGGATCACCGGAGAATCGCCGTCGTCATCGGAAAACGAGGTTCGTAACGCATCGTAAGGACGAAATGGTGGCTGGCGCCTAGCCAAAAGGCCATGCCGTGGTTGTGGCGCCTAGCCAGGACGCCGCCACCGTGGTAACAGCGCCTGGTGGAGAAGCCTCAACCATGGTAGTGGCGCGTGGCCAGGACGCCGGAGCCACGGCCAGGGCGCCTGGCCAGGACGCCGCCACCATGGCGGCGGCGTCCTGACCAGGCGCCCCGGCCGTGGCTCCGGCGTCCTGACCAGGCGCCCAGGCCGTGGCACCGGCGTCCTGGCCAGGCGCCACTAGGGGAATATATTTTTTTTTTATTTTTTTATTTTTTATTTTTTAATTTAATCCCCTTTTTTTTTTTTGTTTTTTTTTTTTTGTTTTTGTTTTTTTTTATTTGTTTGTTTGTTATTACTTTTGTTCGTCCAATATTTAAAATTTAGAAATTGCGTTTGTGATAATTTTGTGTTAAGTGTATTAATTTAATCTTAATGTAAATATATTTATACGTTATATGTTATTGTTACAGGATTATGGTGGAGACGGAAATGATTACAGTGGGATTTTTGTACATGATGGCCTGTTCGAAGATGCTCAACAAGCGATTGATTGGGCAAAACAGGTTGCAATTAGATCAGGCTTTTGTTTAGTAGTAGCAACTCATAAATCTCAACGGGATGGTAGAATGGATCGCATTTTGAGATGCGACCGTTATCGCAAAAGAGAAGAACGAGATTTCAGTAAAGCGATTCGGTTTGACTCAAAGCGGAAAGGTTGTGGGTGTCAGTTCCGAGTTAAGGTTCGACAACATCAAAGGCGTGACGGTTGGGAAGTGAAGGGTTACGGCAAATGGGGATATCACAACCATGAGCTCATAGCATACAAAGTGGGGCATCGGCAGTTAAGCGGCCTAAGTCCAGCTGCGAAACTAGTTGTAAAAGAAATGAGTGATGCTCAAGTGAAGCCCGCTAAAATATTAGCGTCTGTGTTAGAGAAATTCCCCGAAGACCAGCCAAACCGAAGACACATCTACAACGTCAGACAGAAATTGAGGTTTGAACGGTCAGAGGGAAGGAACCCTATACAGCAGCTTCTGCACCAGGCACAAGCACGTGGTTACCTTTACTGGTTTGAATCTGACGAAGACACATCGGAGGTAACTCATTTGTTCCTTGTCCATCCTGATTGTGCTGATATGATTTCGTCTTGGCCATCTGTGATTTTGATCGATTCAACGTACAAGACAAACAAGTACAAGTTCCCACTGGTTAAGATGGTTGGGATGGCTCCAACGAACCAGAACTTTCTGATTGGTTATGCAGTCATGAAGGATGAGACGGCTGCGAGTTACCGTTGGGTGTTGGAAAAGTTGAGAAACTACATCGGCCCAAATGTACAGCCATCGGCCATCGTAAGTGATTGTGAGGGTGGTCTTTTTGCCCCTATAGCGGAGCTGTTTCCGGAGTCGAGCCATTTACTGTGCACATGGCACATCAACAACTGCGTGAAAGTCAAAGCCTACAATCTTTTCAACAAGAATTTAGTAACAGCAGAGACATTGATAAATGGTAAGTGGCGGAAGATCATGCAAGCTACCACAGAGGCAGAGTACGATCGAGCCTTGGAAAACTTCAAGGATGCGTACAAGTTGATGTACAAGTTGAGCGAGTATACCAGGATGAGGGAGTTGGGCGATGAAGTGGCTATTCGGTGCGGATGTGCTATATCAGTGACTCATGAATTACCTTGTGCATGCACCATTCACCGCGTAATTACGCAAGACAGGGCGTCGTTACATGTCGATCAGGTTCATCCATTCTGGCGGACGCTCGTTATCGGAGAGCATGCTGTTCCGCATACGGTTCACCGTGAACAGGAGGAGTTGGAGCAGTTTCAGTTGATGTTTGACCAAGTGTCCTCCAGTCACCCTTCGATCATCTCACCGAACGGAAGGTGGAACGAGTTCGTATCCGGCTGCCATCGCTCAACGAAAGCCGTGATCAGCGTCCAGTCAATCCTGTCGTGCATGGTGGCAGGAAGGTGACTCACTCTAGTGCCCCTCAATCGCCCGACCATCTCGCTCTCCTCCGGCCAAGCATCAGCCCAGCTACACAAAAACCTACAAGTCTTTTCCCGGGTTTGGCATTTCAAAATGCCTGTATCCAAAGCCCTCTCCTGGTCCTCCCAAATACGGGTAGCGATGTGTCCTAAAAAGCTAGGAATCACACTCCCGTCTATAGGTCCCCCGGCCACCTCACCCCTCACCATCCAAGAATCATTAACGACCCTCGACCGTTTTCTGCTACCCGCAGACACAGTGGACGCAGATGATGTGCCAGATCTACTAACAAACCTACCATCTCGACCCTTACGCACATCTACCCTATGCGTCTCATACGTATCATCAAGCCTCTGACTGAATGGACCGTAATCATCATATGGTCCACTCTGATCGTCGACATCCTCATCTGCATCATCCTCGTCCTCGACCTCCTCCTCCTCGACCTCCTCCTCCTCCTCCTCATCATCATCATCATCATCTTGATCGTCCGCAGAACAGTGCACCCGTTCTCTGCGGGCCGAGGCCGAAATACCACGGGATCTAACGTGTCTGGGCCCCGAGCTCTCCATTGAGTAGATCGTACTCCTCACGACGTCAATACTCTTCCCCGCACCAGGTCCAAATTGCGATGCCTAACTCCAAGTAAATAACGAAACATAATAACGAAAACAAATTAAAAAAAGTCGAAAATAAACACAAAAGCAAATAAACAAGTCACGGAAATAAAATTATAAACATAAAAAATATAAATATATACAAGACAATATACATATAAACATAAGAAATATAAACATAAACATATACCAAAAACAAAAAATATAAACTACAAAAAAAAAAAACAAACATAAACAAAAACAAAAACAAAAAATATTACCAAAAACAAAAAATATAAATACAAAAAAGGACGAAAATAAACAAAAAGCAAATAAACAAGTAACGGAAATAAAATTATAAACATAAAAAATAAAAATATAAACAACACAATATAAATAAAAACATAAAAAATATAAATATAAACATAAAAAAATATAAATATGAACAAAACAATATACCAAAAACAAAATATATAACCAAAAACAAAAAATATAAACAACAAACTAAAAAATGAAAAACATAAACAAAAACAAAAAATCAAAAATGCAAAGAAAAAACCAAAAACAAAAAACTAACAAAACTTAAAAATTTTAAAATTGCAAAAACTTAAAAAAAGAAGAACATCAAAATTATAAAGAAAGTTTATAAAAAAAAAAGGGAACTTATAATTTTTTTACATACAAAAATATAATTCAAAAAAAAAAACATAGGAACATAAAATTAAAAATTAAAACCAGAAACAATTTTTTTTTAAAAAAAAAAAATAGAACATAAAATTAAAACAAATAAAAAAACAAAATTTAAAAAAAAAAAGATAAAAAAAAAGGGAACATACAATTTTAAAAAAAGAAAAACAAATTTTAAAAAAAAAAAAAAATTCGAAAATAAAATTTAAAATTAAAAAAAAAACAAAAAAAAAATTTTTAAAAAAAAAAGAGAAGGAGGCGCCTAGGCAAGACGCCCGTACGGTGGTGGCGGCGCCTAGCCCAGACGCCACTACCACGGCCGTGGCGCCTAGCCTATGCGCCGCCGCCGTGGTAGTGGCGTCTGGGCTAGGCGCCGCCACCACCGTATGGGCGTCTTGCCTAGGCGCTTCCTCCGTGGTGGTGGCGTCTCGCCTTGGCGCCCCACCGTCGCCGGAGGTTTTTTTTTTAAAAAAAAATTACAAAAATTTAAAAAATTACCTTCTGGCCGGCAAACCGCCTTCCGCCCACCAACGGTGCCGCCACTTCCTTGCCGGGCCGCCTCGACATAGCTCTGGAAATAATTTAGAGAGAGAAAGTGGAAGTAGAGAGTAGAGAGAGAAATTGTGTTTTTTAGTTTGAGGGCAAAAGTGTCATTTCACTCTTATTTTGTGGGCTTTATGTAGGAATTTGCGGGCGATGTTTAACAGTTCACTTTTTTTATTATCTTTGTAACTTGAGGTTAACTCGATCCTATATTAGACACACCTGCTCTTATTCCAAACATTCATTTTGATAGATCAATATGATAAAGTTAAAAAAAAAAATCTCAAAAGTAAATAGAAAATCTGAAAAAGTACATTAATATATCTCTAAACTAAATCAAAATAACTATGAAAAGAAATCAAAAGTAGAGCAATATATGTAAAAAGTAAATCATAACTAATCAAACGTAAATACAAAATGCTAAAAAGTATATCAAAATATCAAAAAAGTAAATACAAGTGAATAATTTCATTATTAAAGTAAATAATATTTACTCAAAAGTAAAATAGAAAAACTCAAAATTAAATATTAAAAATAATATATATAATCTAATTGTTCGAAGTGCAAGTAGAACCTACGTGGGGTTCGACCCCACATCTTTTGTGCACTTGCACAATGCTCTACCTATTGAGCTGGCTGGTGTACATTAAAGCATTCGATATAAGGAAAAATTAATTAAAAGTAAATAAATATTATTCAAAAGTAAAGCGAAGTACATCAAAAGTAATAAACAACAAAAATATATAGAGTATATGCTCAAATTTCAGTCAAAGTGAGCAACTACCATTCCAAATATTCCAGGTTATCAATAAATAAACCTACGTGGGATTCGAATCCACATCTTTTGTGCATGTGCACAATGCTCTACCTGTTGAGCTTGTAGGCTAGTATATACATTAAACATTCAAAGTAAACAAAATAATTCAAAAGTACATAAAAATCTTTTAAAAGTAAATTTAAAAATTTATACAGCACATGATGCCAAGCCTTGCTGGTGCACACCAATTCCAACCTGATTAGCAACAGAGAGGTGCGCATCAGTGTTAACTTTCACAACCCCCGGCTGCTGGTGCACACCAACTTGCATTCAGGGCAGCCTTATTTGTCACAGCAGGCTTGAATACTTAAATAGAGTACTCTCTATAATCATGTAGTAGCTTGGTATAATTAAATGCTAGACTTACATGACTAGTCACAAGGTCCTGGTAAATACTCGCATCCCTGCAAAACCAAGCAACCCAAGTCAGAACACATATCAAACTTAGTTCTTTTTTCTCCACCTTATGTGCAAGCCACAATAGACGCTCAGCAAAGGATCTTGTAGGCGCATCATTCAACGGCTCCACATAATTACTATGCTCCCATGTCCCAAATCAATTTTGCACCCCGACATTGGAACAAGGCATGAATGAAAGATTCACTTGAAGCCCCACATATCAAACAAGTGCAATCCGTTGTGACATGACAATAGTGTAAGCTCTGGGTCTGCATATAGATGGTGTTAGCCAAGAAGAACAAGTTTATCTACTCATATCTGTTTCATGATAAAAAAAAAAATAGCAATGCAAGCAACACATTGAATTTTGGATTGTGTGTGTGTGTGTGTATATGTGTCGCTATTAGTGTAAAAGACAACATATAGTAGGCAAAGGTCTGTTGCCTTTGTAGGTTGGAATTCACCTGCTTCATATTGAAAAGTGTAGATTGCTACTAAATAAACCATGCACACAATTATATACCAAACTCAGTCACTAACATCAACTCAAAAGTAACTACCATTAACTCAAAAGTAATCACCATTAACTCACAAGTAAATAAGACTAACTCAAAAGTAAATAAAACTAAATAATAAAATTCCTCTATGAATTTCACAAAACTAAATAATAAAACTCAGAAGACGTACAGGAATTTCATAACTGAAATATTTGAACCAATGTTGACCTTCTCATCTGATTTTAATAGGGCCTTGCTGAGCAACAACCTGTGTGATGAAGTCACAAAACAACCTGTGTTTCACTTTCTTCTATAAGATTAAAATAGCTAGCTAGATAAGTACCTTGCTAAGCCATAACCTGTATTGCAGTCGCAAAAGAAATATAAAACTAATATCAGCAACAAGACAATATCTGCAGGTATTTAATGAAATCTTATGGACAAAGTTGCACCTGGGCAATGGACAATAACCAAATGAGCAAAGACAACATTAGAAACTTCAAAAATAGTGGCTAAGACCAGATGAAATTTCCAGTATAGAAGCCTAGGACAAAAGTATCGATAAAAGCCATAATTTTAGAACATCAAATACAAAACCCCTAAAATCAGTCAAACTTGAAGAAAACCTCAATCGAACAAATTAGATAAATAAATCAAATTATACAAATTCAAACTAATTATTATTTCCAATAGACATAATGTGAAATTATAACAATAACAAATCAAATATATGATTAGCAGACAAAAATTAATTGAATAAAAATGGCGAAAACCTAACTTCACACTCAAATCAAACAAACGCAAAAAAATTTCACAAAATCACAAAAAGTATAATAAATAAAAAAGAATTACCTCAAACAATGACGAAAATCAAAGAACCAAAGCAAAAAAATTGATCAGCGAAGAACGAAATCCCGATTTCTATACAAGAGAAACGAAAATACAGTGAGATTTGAGAGTAGAGAGAGAAAGATCAAGAGAGGAGAGAGAAACAAAAGAACTTTGAAAAGAACATGAGAAAGGTCATTCAACTGGAAAAATTAAAAAATGCCTTTAATGAAATTGAAAAAGGCGGGTGAAACACAGTCCATCGGATTGAGAGCAATCAATGATCACAATGAGTTCCTAGTTCCTATTATAGGACTTGGTTCTCACATGATCCCAATTCTATATATATATATATATATATGTATATATATATATATATGTATATATGTGTGTGTATATGTATATATATATATATATATATCTTATATTTTTTAAATGTATGTACATTAAAAAAAATTAAAATTAGAAATTAACTTTTCGTAAATTGGGTTCAATCATTATCGTTTCAGGTTAAATACGGGTTGTATAAAAATAAAGGTTTCTAATTTTTAATTTAGTATTGTATTTAGTATTGTGTAATAATTATTTCTCTAAAATCGCTCAAAAAATCAAAAAATTAATCTTTTTATCCACTTAGTTTTAGGTACACTTGTTCGTTTAATCGATATTAAAATTATACGAAGTAATACGGTAAGCTGTTATTCTATATTATCAAATATCAATAGAGTTGATAAAAGACTTTAATTAAGCATGTGTAGAATTTATTTTACTTTCTTTTGGAATCAAGCCTTTTTCTTGAAAAAATATTTATAATTAACTTAACGTTTGGAATATGTGTAATTAAAACACCTTGGAATTGTGGACATCTATATCGTGAAGGTTACTTATAGAAGTGATACTTTGTACATTCTTATATTTGAAGGTGATTATTGTTTGCAAAGAGATCTTTACGTACAAATTATTTCTAAGCATTTTTATATTATTTTTTTGTCCAAAAATTCGTATAAGGATGTGAGAGTCAAAGGATCTTGATGCTGCTCTTGCTAAGTATGAGGATTTCTGCATTGTGCATAGCCGTATCATGGAGGACATTCAAGCCGGAGCGCAGTCATTAAAGATGGAGGTTGAAGAAAAAACGGATGAAGTTTATGCAATTATGAGAAATGCGTCTGAAGGAGTGGAAGAAGCTGTTGCTCAAGCACCTTATGTGGTTCCTGAATTTGTGAGGTTTTTAGATCGAGTAGAGAAAACAACGGCTGAAGGTGCTATTCAGCTTGAACAACTAAAAGAGGATAAAGAAAAGAAAAAGAATTAATTGGATGAGGTTTTGAATAAGCATAAGAAAAGGGCTAGGGAATAGGAAAAGGCTAGATGAAATAAGTTGTAAATCTTAGTTGGTTTGTCAACCAAATCAAATTGTTGAATATAAATATTAAAATTATTATTAGCCAATTATAATTGGATCTATTTTGCATCTTGATTGAGTATGAATTGTGATTAAATATTAACTTTTGTAATTAATAATTAAATTTTATGATTTCCTACATTTTAAAAGCAATTCTTTTTTGTTATATTTGTATATTAATATTATGTACATACAAGTACTCGATTGATAATCAATTGTTATAGATGAGAATCGATCTGAGCCACTAACAAATCATTATGAGAAAGTAGGGCATCCCCTTTATCTGCTAGTTTGAGTACACAGTCGTGCTCAACCACAACATTGACAAAGACATCTGTTGATCTCATAGCCTGAAATGGTACAAAAGAACATGTCAAGTTCAGTTTTTGGATATTGCATCATAACATACTAAATGAAAATTGAATTAGAGTCCCATTAAAAGGTTATATTACTTTAATTTGGTGGTAAGCAAGACAACTCTTTTTAAAATCAAGTACAAGTATATATTAGGTCTATAACATTATGTAGCCTTTATAATTGGAAAAAAAAACCTTAATATATATATTCAACAAGTCATTAGTTCTTTGAAATAAGGAGGATCATGCTGGATTCACATAATTATCGTTCACGGTAATTTAATACCATTGTTTCTTATAAAACACTAGTCATTTCTAATTGATATTAAATGAATTTGTGCAAATACATTTCATAACAAATACGGAGTAATAAATTTGTTGCATACAAATTTAATTTATTAATTAACTCATTCGTGCAAGCCTTAAAAGAGTATGATCAATTTATTCGATGTATGAGTACAATCATAATGGAATGGTTTGTAGTCGGATTATCATTTTATCTACTGTATTACAAAGTACTTCATCCCTATAAATTATTAGTCAGATCATACAAAGTACTCCGTATAATTTACCCTTCTATCAATTCAATTACAAAAATCATCTTAAATGATGTATTGTCTCCGTCCTTTAATTATAGTTCTATTTCTTTGGATTGCTATAACCATGGCATGATAGAGTCATCTATACACCCATAGAATATGAGCGATTTACCCCCTTTTTTTTATTTAGTTTTTTTTTATTATTTTTTCTAAAGCAAATTTTTATAATTTAATGTTTTTTTGTAGTATTCTTTAATCTAGCCTCCTATTCAATCGGGATACTTATACATGTATGTGACTATGTGAGAGCAATATTATTTTTCTCTTGAATACCCTAATTGGATTCTTGAATACCCTAATTAGTTTCAATACCTTTTTATATATATAGTATTATTTTTGTAATACGCTCCATTTAATCATCTCATCTTTACACAGATGTTAGGTTACTAACTTTATGTTATAAAGTTGAATGGATTGAATTTCTTTATCTAAGCTCGTCATCATCGATTTAGGGGATTAAACCAAATACAAAACTACGACTTTTATTCATCTTTTTACTTTTAATTGACAAAAAATTCCTTAATTTTCGTGAGAATTGAAACAATCATAATTATTTTTTTTTTATATTTTTTTATTGTGTCTACTTAGATTAAGAGAAAGATCATAACTTGATCAAATCTCTCATGAGTCAACTTAGTTTAACCCATATTTATGACACACAACCTTACCCTTGTGGATATACTTGTATGTGCACGTCAATTGATTAATTTAACAGGATCAAGTTGGGTTAGATTAAGTTGTCATATATTTAATTAATAACCAAAATTATCATTTCCACTTCGCAACCACTTCCAATTCCACATTTAATCTACTGATGCAATCCCCCAAATTTCACAAGTTGTCAGAATTGTTTTCATTTATTCATCAATTAACATACAAAATTAGTAATATTGTGTAATATTCCGTATATAACTTTTGCAGCTTCTATAACCAAAATCACCTTTACCAAAATTCATTAACTTGTTTAATACTTTTCAAAATACGTTTAATTAGTTGTACAAAAAAAAAAGACATAGCCAAGAGTATATACGTGTGTAATGGATGGTTGAAGTGATGAAGTTTTATTTTTAATCAATTGTTATAGATGAGAATCGATCTGAGCCACTAGGGCAGATGATTTTATTTTACAAAGTTTTGGAGGTTCACTTAATTAATACGCAAATCATAATACTCCGTAACATATTTAACCTCGGATTTGTCAACAGAAAAATCAAGCCGAACTTCACTTTTAATCCAGCAATGTATGAATTGTTAATGATTACAGTTTCATGTGGCTACTAGCTCAAAGATGATTCATTCCAGTTGAATTTGAGAGAATTAAAGATTACTTGAAATCATCCTACATTGGACACAAAAGAAAATTAGTTTTAATTTCAAATTACACTCGTCAATCCAATGAATTTGACAACACTTCTTTGTAATCTTGTTCGGTAGGGGTTACTTTTTCATGTGTTAAATTAGCTGGTCACATCGTGTGGCCAGTCACGTATTAAATTGGAAAAAATATTTGGCCTTAAATTGATCCTATTTAATAAGGTTCCTGAGTCCTGACCCTATTATTAACCGGGTCTACTCTCAGATTTCCAACATTTATTTAATTAGCCATCTATGTAACCCTTAGCTTCAATATAATATGTCAAATGTAACACTCCACTAACACTCCACTAATCTTTCTTCTATCTTAACAACAATAATTTGTTTCATTAAATTTAAATTTGTCTATATCTTAAGTATTGTGTTATCACTTTAAATTGCAATTTTTTTTTTGGTTTTTAAAATACGGAGTACAAAAATATGACAACACTTAATAAATTCCTTAGTACAAAAATATGACAACACTTAATAATTGCCTTGGAACTTAAAAGCCATTATTTGCAAAACTGCTTAATAATTAAAATAAATACAAAGTTTGTAAAATTTAGCTTTCAAAATACAAAATAAAAAAAAATTTAAAAATTTTTTGTAAAAATTAAAATAAATAAGAGTAAGAAAAAGCTATTAAGAGATAAGTGCATTGTTTGGCGTGAAGGGTTGCTTCGTTTCACGCACCAAGCATCACTTCAATTACATCACCATTAGAAAATAAATATAGTACTTCTTCTTTAATTTACCATTTCAAACCCTTTGATCTATCCTTTTCTTTACCAAATTTCTCCAAAATCACCCCTAAATTTCTTCCCAAAATTGGCTAAAAACACCCAAAATGTTGCATCAAGTTCGAAAAATTATGAAGAGGATGAAGAATCTTACATAGAGAGGCGTGTGGAATACATTCAGGCGGAATTGCAATGGATGGAAAGCCGCCGTTCAAAGAAGGAATGCCAACTTGAGGAAATGAAAGCTCGACTACACGAATGCAGGGAGAGGAAAAAGATTGAGGGAGGTGAAACTTCAGATGGTGATGAAGAAAGGGATATAAAGAGGCAGATAACAAGGAAAATTGGAAATGCAACACTGGAAAATCAAGGGGTAGAAGAAGCACCAGAAAAACAAGAGGTAGTAGCAGCACTGGGAGGCAATGTCAGAGAGATGGCGGAGATGGTAGACGCACCAGAGGAAGATGGTGATGCTGATGATGAGGAGTCAGAGGAAGAAGAGGAAGACGGAGATGATGAGTCAGAGAGATCTGATGATGATGAGGATGACGACGACGACGATGATGGGGATGATGGTGTCCAGCAACAGGATCCTTTTTTTGGGATGTTCCCTGATGTTGATGAGCCGGGAGATGACGCAGACGATATTCCGGAATACGTCTCTGGTTCTAATACTGACCACTCCTCTTCATCTGCTTCAACCAACTCTAATGCTTACAATCTCTCTCCCCACAACTACTTCAATATGGTTTAACCTCCTCCTCTCTGATTTAAGCTTAAGTATTGATGGTTTTTTTTGTGTTGGTTTTTGCTTCTTAAAACTTAAAACTTTTGGTTTGAGATGTTTTAATTATATGTTATGTTTATGCTAGATAAACTTCAATAGCTTATGGAATGGTAGATAAACTTTAATCTAAATGGTAGCTTTTGAATGCTTTAGTGTAAATTTTGTGATGATTGTGTAAATTTTAAAACATCTGGAATGGTAGCTTTTGGATTTGTGAGTATTATATGTATTTAATTTGCTTGGAATGCTTTATTTGGGATAGTTTTTATGTTGATTGAGAAGTATATATATGAGTGTTCTTTCTGGTAATGGCGCTAATGCCACAAAATTTAAAAACTCTCGCCATCAAACTTTGTACAAAGTGGGTTAACATAAGACTTTACCTTTCAGTACAACTTTGGCAACCTCTAATAGTACATAATAGGCCATTAAAAAAGACCATTGAATTAGCTATTGTATAAGTTTGAAGTTTTATTACCTGAACTGTAGGGTAATGAAACCCTTCAGTGTTACATATTTCACAATTTAATGGTTTTTAGGTAAAACTAGGGATTTATGTACTTAGGATTGAAAAGGGATGAAATGGGTTGATTAACATATGAACCTGTAGTTGACTAAGTATAATAAACACATACTCCATGTTTTGAGATTACAGAAAAACTTAGTGTCACATCTCTCTTATTACAACAAAAGCTGATTGATGAGATTGATAAATTGGGAAAAAGTGAAATTGTTACAATGAACTATTCTCCATGTCCCAAACTATTCTCCAGTTTTTGGAATCAGTATAAGAGTTATAAGGAAATTTCTAGGGTCGAAAAAACACATGTATACTTTCTAGGGTCGAACCTTTTAGTCCAATATAATCTTAGAGAAATTTGTTCAATATATTTGTATATCATTAAATACATACATGTAGAACAATACTCTTTACTAAATAAAAGGAAAGTTTGGAAATAAAAAGTGTGTTTGATCAAATGTTTAAATTCGATATAATTTAATCCCTAAGATCAACTTGGAAAAAAAGAGGAATAATATATTATTCCACATTAAACTTAGAATTAACTACTAATAATTTCATATATTTTACAATACTATATGATACATAAAAAATTCACTTAAGAGGCAAGAAATCAAAAAAAGAAAAAAATCAAAAATGAAATGAAAAAACATACTTGACCATTAATTTTCATGAGGGAAGCAGAAGAGCTCTTTTCTCTCTCATGTTGTATTTGAGCTTCTAGAGCTGATATCCTTTGCAAAAGCTCGGCATTTTTTCGCCTTTCGCTTTGTAGCTCTGCTACTACTTCATCCATGTTAACAATAACTTCTTGTGCTTCATTCATTTCTTATACTATTGTATATTCATCACGCAAAAATTAAGGAAGAAGCAGCCTAACTAATTTAATTACCAAAGTGTAGGGAATATTTCAAGCATTATCCCTAGCTTGAACCCCACCGTGATCATACACTAAAGTACGATGGCATCCAAAGGGAAAGAAGATAGAGAAAAAGAGTCGCCAACAAGTTTTAAGAACTTGTAAACTGTTTACAGGGTGAAGGTTACACCCCTTAACGATCCAAGAGATCGTTAACTCCAATAGGTCTAGAACCATGACTGGTAGTTTGGGGAAAAAGGTACAAATCCAACCTATAAGAGATTGAACCTGCCCTAATAATAGGCCTCTACTTCATTCTGATCGTATTCATGTGCGCTTTCTGACTAACATGCAACCAATAGGTTTACCCTAAACCTGTTTAATCTATGTTGATTGAATATTAATGCACAAACAAATCTATTATTGGCGATCACTTGAATTAAAATCACATTAGCCCTAAACAAGATTATTAATTATCTTATTAAGCGTGATTACAAGTACAAATTCCCTTTAAACATGCATAAAAGGTATGATCAAGGAATAACAATAAATATCAAGAAACATAATAATAATCATCACAAATTATAACAAATATAATAATAATAATGATAATTAAAATAATCATGCTAAAGCATAATATTAATAGCAAGATCCTAGACATGATACTAACAAGATTAATAACAAACCCTAGCATGTCACTAAACATCAAAGATCAAAGCTTTAACCATAACATGATACTAACATGAATATTAGGAAAGAAATATGAAGCATCGCAGGAAACACAATTGTCATATTTGATATTAGAAATCATAGTTGTTACCCTAAACATGATATTAGGAAGATTTAAACGCCCTAACATGACACTAGGAATCATAATAACAACCTAGACATGATTTCTAAATCATAATATAAATAAATCAATTAAAGCACTTACTTGGATGCCTCGTATCTCTTTCTAATAAAAAAATACACACGTTAGTAACTTCAAGGAAAATATAAACAAACAATTAAATTACATAATTGAAAAAAAAATTAAGAAAGTTTAGACTAGATTTGGGACCAAACCCTCAGAAATATCAAACCTTTCACGTTTAGGGCGAAGGCAACTTCGAACTTTGCTAGGTGTTTCTAGATCTTGTGTATGAGGAATTGTGTTTGTAAAAGGGCTAGGCTTAGAAAAAGAGAAAGAATAATCAAGAGATTCTTGATGAGAGTTGGTGAGAGAGAGAATTAGAGAATTAATGGAAATTGATGAAAATTAATGATGAAAAATGGAGGTTTTAGGAGGCTATTTATAGAGAAAATCAGCCAAACGGATAAAAAAAACAAATTAGAGTTTCGACAAGGATTAAACAGATTAGCGCCAGACGCTGAACATTAGCGCCAGGCGTTAAGGCTAGGGTCAGGCGCCAAGCATTAGCGCCAGGCGCTAATGTCTGTCGTCAGGCGCTAAATATTATTTTCACGCGTTTTCTTATTTCAGATAAAATTTAGCCGTACAGAAGGGCAAAATCGTATTTTCCTTAAAAACACTCTTTCATTCTGATTAAAACTCTAAAAAGTCAACCAAAGTCAATTTATCAATGATAATTGAATTAGGAATGAAAAGAACTTTCTAGAATAATCTAGAAGACTAAAATCAATTCTAATTGCATTAGGAAAGATAAATCCATATTAGGCCCTCCTATAGATCATTGGGCCGCATATAAGGATCAAACCAGGCCTAGTTTAGTAATTTGGCCATAACTTCCTCATTATTCATCGGAATTGGGCTTATAATATATCTTTGGAAAGCTCTTTTCAAACCCCATCCATTTACAGCATTATTGGACCCTTGCCATGGACCAAACCAAACTGGATTGGCTGTTTTCTTAAAATAGGTTATCAAAAACAGAGAGAAAAGAAAAGAAAAGAAATTAAAACTATTTGCAACACTAGACTTTCCATACTTTCACTTCATTTGATTATGATTCTTCGTGAAAGATACTCATAACCGGTTTGGTTTTGGGGAGACACAAATGGGTGTCTACACAAAGTAAACAGTATTATAACTTTGTAAGTTTATAATTGAAAATCTCTATAGTATAGAAATTAGAAATCTTACTAATTCAGTAGAAGATACTCTTACAATAGAGAAGTTGAGAGGAAAATGATGGGCAACATAAAGAAAAGAGGGTGGAGTGATATTAATATTTGTACTTGTTGCATTAAGAAGAGAGAAAGTGTGCATGGAACCCCACGTGCGTCCTTGTAGCACAAATTTAACTCCTTTGTGTTCGGATCTAGTTGTCACATTTCAAATATACATATACATATATGAAATGTCTGATTGTACATGTGTATATAATGAATTGAAAACTACTGATAGAAACTTAAATTTGATGTTTCGGTTTATCTTTAGTCATAGACTAATGGTAATGAGCTGAAATATATGAATAGTAACTTCTTAACTATTAGGTATGTAATTTTACTACTCTAATAATTAATAGAATTCATTTGTAAATTGTAATATTAATTTTTTCTTTAAAAAGATGTAATCAACTTACATTTTTGAGGGAAAATGTAATCAATTTACATGTAACATGTTTGCATGATATTTTGCATCTAGTAATAAGTTGGTAAATTAAATTCATGTAGGATTAATTAAAAAGATATACTTGGTATATACTTAGTAGAAAATCACTATCATTCAATTATTATTTCATTAAGTATTAGGAAACAAACATGTAAACTATCCGATGTCCCAAACTATCCTAATTTTTTTCTTAATTGCTCAAGGGTTTGATCTAATTGATTACCTAAAGCATCCTTTTACAACATTAATAAAACCCAAATAAAACCCCAAAGTACTCTCCAAGTGTAACTTTAATAGTCGTTGAAGGAGAAATTGGATATTAGGATACATTCCACAATACACGCTATACTTCAAACTAGACCAAAAAATGTCTTACTTATAAAAAGTATTTTAAAACAAATAACTTGTGCTTAATTTGACTTATAAAAAGTATTTTGTTGAACTACATTTATTTATTTAAAAAAAAATAACTTGTGCTTGTTGTTAGACTTAATGGATACCCATCATTTAACAAATTAACAACACAAAGTCTACTTAATTACGGAGTATAATAACTATAGATGCAAGTACATGTCTATTTAGGGATTGTTATATTCAGCTTAATTTCAGTTCAGTTCAGTTCATAATTTCCTTATCTCATAACAATTCATTTAAGCTCTACTAAGTTCAGTTCATTTCAGCCCAGCGTCAATCAGTTCAGTTCAGTTTTGTAAATCAGAACAAGCCCTTAGTCCATATAATAATATAGTTTTTGACAAATTCTATGTTAAAATAGACCATATGTGTAAATTGAGTTAATTAATAATATTTGGATGTACAATTTATTTAGGTAGTTAGGTATCATCTGTTAGTTTGACGATAATCATAAGTCAACGTCACTAAAAAAATATCGTAACCATGTGACAAAAATAGCACAATAATGTTATCTAGTATGGCATGTGAGGGGAATTCTTGTTGGTTTTGTTATGCCCTAGCTGCTTCCAATTGCTGCACTGCTTCAACATGAAGATCAA